ACTCAGACTATCTAGCGTCAAACTTGAATTATAGTTTCCACCACTACTTCAGACAGTAGTGTACTCTGGAAGTGTCTAATGAAGGATATATAACCAATAATAGACAGACCCAAATATCATATCTCTATAAGAATGTGAAGAAGTTAACTTGAAATATACAGCAGCTGCATCCTTCCAAATCCTTATCTTGTTCTCAATTCACAACGAACCTGTCCGTTTATATATTTTAATATTATACTCGGTGAGAGCTCGCTAGAATCTGAGCTGGGCAAGACGTATCGAGGTTTCGAATTTTGCTCGTCTTTTCTGTTCTCTACACCCTGTGGCTGGAGGATTAAGCTCATCCGCTCTGTTTGGTTGCACGAAAGCATGGAACTTTGCCTCCACAGATCGTACATAAAACTTTTCTTAAGCTTCCTTGCGTCCAATAATTTATTTTTTTTAGTGTTCTGTCTGACGACAGGTCCCTATGAACAGGATCCTTCCATCCTTTTCTCGGACTGGGACCTGTTCATATACGTTCTTGGCAGATGATCCAGAAGTGGTTTGCCATTGCCTTCTTCTGTGTGTGAATGGGATGCCACGGAGAAACCGGGGAAACTCCGTGTTGCCTAGACCACGGCCTTGCCCAACACAAGTTATAAATTCTACCCCATATAACGTCACAATCTGAATCAAAAACTTAATCTGATGGAGCACCTTGGGCCCAGTATCAGGTCATGCATGAGCTTGGCTACCCCTGAACTAGATTATCATTTTGTTTGTTGGTCCATTTTGTGAAAGCAATTCATACACACGCACATGTTACTGCTTCAGTTTGCGCTCTCCAGATGGCAGCATTTGCGTGTGATTTGACACAAGTCAGAACCTTTATTATACAGTAGTAACAGGTACATAGCTGTTTGTTACGTAAACAAGAGGACTTAACAATACGTTTTTGTTATCTTCCGGTCAGGGGATTTAGTGTTGGGTCGCCGGAACGACACTGTTGAAGTTTTGACGTGGTCTTGATGAGTAGGCACATATTTAGAGGTGCTATAAGTGAACTATGACCTCCACAATTGCAGGTGCTTGTTGGTGTAACACGTTAGGCGTCGGTTGAAATTCTTAGCTTCTGACTTACGCACAGGAAATAATTTATACTGAAAACAAGAGGGAGTGGTTCTGTGTCCACAATTTCAAAGCAAACTTGTACAGAGCAGTGCATAATAGAACGTAAGGAATGCTAACAGTGTTTATTACTTACGGCTGTCAAGCTATGGTCTTACTGGCTTCGTGTACTATCGATTTGGCGTAAGTCCGTTTACGTTTGAACTGGATACTCCGACGTTTATAATAACATTGTCACCGCCAAGGCGATAAAAGTTTGGCAACTCTTCAATAAAAGTTATGACGTTATTTATTTGTGAAGATGGCTGTCCTCTGGGCTGTAGCGCGGTGTAGAGGTCAGAGATCATCGCTGCCTCCGACGTCAGTGCCCTCATGATGTTCTACACGGCGCTACAACCCAGAAGATAGCGGTCTTCGTACTCGCCACCATGAGAACCTCAAATTTTAGTTGCTTGTGAAATGTCTCTTGGTGTGTGAGAAAAAAGTTCTCCCTGGTAAAGAAAAATCCCGAGATGTTGGATACTTCGTCTTCCTGGATTATGCCTTGCAGTGTCTGTCTTGGTGTCAAGGTACATTCATACGTCTGGCACCTGTAAAATGAAAAGTGTCGTCGTGTCTTACCTTGGACGGGGGTTGTGGCGGCGCCCGGTACTTTGAACCCGCTCCCGGATGACGCCGTCTCACTCTTGCGTCGTTGGTGGTGTTGGTGGTAGGACTCGAGCTCACGCAGATGGTTAGTGAACGGCGAATCCAGAAACGGGCGCTGGCCCAGAGCAAGTGCGCGAAATTGCTGCTGTTGACCAGCTGTAGGGACACAGACGGGGGCACGTATCAGATAGGAAGTCACAATCCACTGCCAACTGAATATTATATTACCCTCGCCTGTCCTATGACACATTGAATCAATGGCACAGTGTTTTTAATTCGAAATTCTTGGGCTAGATTTAAAACTAATAGTTCCAATTATGATATTCTGGGTTTTTGTAGTGTGTAGACTTGTAGGCTGTCTCTTTATTCAGAGCTGAAGATAGAGACAGTATGCTCCTCCTAAACTTTGGCACCTACCGACGCCAAAACACTGAATATCATCTTCACCCTTACCGCCGTGAAAACCTGAAATCTCACATATTAATTTGAAGTCTTCATTAATATATGGCTCTGGCTTTTTTCCTAAAATACCTTGTCAGTTCTAGTTATCGTATTGTCTGTCCAGCTGTGTGCCTTACTACGTGACAGGTTCTCGGCGAATTATTTCCTTCCGGCTTAAGAAACACTGAGTAGTTCTGTACTTGCGATGTGATCGTGAAGTTCACGGTTAGCAGCGAAATCTCGGCGTGATTGATTGATTAATAGTATTTGATAGACCTACAGAGATGGAGTAACAGATTATTGGAGAAAATAATTTACATAATGAGGACCCTCATATTTATACCCAATTTCCTAATATTATTAAGAAATAATTGAACCAAGTCAGTCTAGAAAAGCGACATATATTTGGCATGGGGAAATGAGAAATGTTTGCAGAATTTTGGCCGGAAACCCCGCAGTACTTACCATTTTGAAAACCTAGACATATATGGGAGGATAATAGTAAAACGAGTTGCACAGAGAAGAGTGTTATTGAATTCAAGTGGGTCATGGCAGTATTCAATGATGTTTCGAGAACTATCGATATCCATAAAAGCAACTGAGTAGCTGTCAACTGCTCAAGAAATACGCTTTGGTAGGGTCGTTGTGCGGTTTGTGAATGCTATTGTACTCGTTCACACAAATGCCGTTATGAACAGCTCTTATAAAGTTGTTTGTTTATACCCTGTGTTCTGTAATGACATGTCAAACATCGCGACCACCAAAAAAAAAAGCATTTTATTGACTTTTAATCTCTTTGAAACTGTGTATTGGCTGACTCCAATATTTTTATAATTGTTATTTTTAAATATCATCATAACAATCATCGTCGTCGTCATCATTGACATTTATGTTAACGACAAAAAATTCGGTCTTTTTAACTTTTATATACGTTTATTTTAATTTGTATATGGAGTCCTTGTATCAGTGTGACACACAGCTCGGTAGGGATGCAATCTGTCCAGATTTCCCAACAAACAAAAACTACAGAGGAATGCATCTGTTTTTGAGAGGGGTTGGGATATAGAGGTATGAATGGGGTGGGAGGGGGTGGATCATGATTATTGCCATGTCACCAGAAAGCATACTGCCTGCTGGGGAAGTCATCAATACCACGCAATCAGCAACCCTCACCCTCCACCCCCGTCCATCTGGCCCTCGCCTACCTCGTCACGTTCATACTGAATTATTTGTTGCTGTGTTTAAAATACATTTGCATACTCCGAACTCATAAATGCTGTCATTTGAAAAGGGCGCAAGTGCCTCTTCGTTTTATGAAACCTCAAATGATTTTTAAAATTAATAATCTAAGTTATAATGTATTAGTCGGTGTTGGTTTAATGGAGATGACTAACGCATACAGTACACATAGGGAAACGAGAATGCATTTTCAATTTTCGTCGGGAAGTCTTCAGGAGGATAGAGGCGTAGATGGGAAGATAATATTAGTAAATGTGAAGTTGTGGGCTGGATTAAACTCGGCTTCCGTAAAAGCAAGGAAGACTTTTATGTTATCTGTTTATTTGAATATTTGATAACGTTGTTTCAGCAGTTGAAGTCATGTTCTGTCGAATGAGACAAGCATATAACAATTTTGGACAATACATTGCAACTGATGTGAGGGGGAGATTTAGCGGTCTTTTTAAATAAATATCCCAAATTTTGTCTGAAAAGTCGGAAAGAATCCACTGTTACATCTGTCAGGATAAGCTGTTCTGATCTTGTAGCTTCCCAGCATGGTGTCGCGCGCTCTGACTCTCGAAGGAACAAAATTCATGGTTCCTAGTCAATAAATATGAAAAAAAAAAATTGGATGGAATTCGGTGATAGAGATATAAATGGGAGGATAATATTAAAATCTGTCAAAGTGTGGATTGGTGTGAACTATATACGGACAGGGTCCAGTGGTGGGCTTTTGTGAACACTGTGAAGAACTTCTCAGTTTCATAAAAATAGGAATTTTTCGATGGACTCTTCAATGACTATCCTATAATAAGTAGTTACAAAGTTACTCCCATACCTAAGATAACTGTTAAAGTCTTATAGGGGACATAGAAGTGAGGAACCACGTATCTTAGAACTTATCAGGAGATGAGATTTAATTCCCGAGAAATAATTCTGGATATCCACTTGTTGAACGGACCACTGGTTGATTCTGGATGCCAATTAGGAGAGTTTAATCATAGACTTTCAGTACACTAGTATTTATTATAAGCTAATTAAATAATTTAGCTTATTTGTTGAATTATGCAAACAGATGGAAAATCCTACTGAATTTTTTTGCGTGTGTAACTAGTAACATTTTAAATAACTGGTTCATTTACTTGAAAGTTGTCTTGAAGGACACTCTAGAGTTATAGATTTAATTACGTTCAAACGTCAGAACGAATATGGTGGCCATGCTGCGAACGTGAAAAAACAGAGCTTGAGTGTGTGACCTTGAAAATTTATAGGTCGTGCCGTAGCTCAGGCGATTAGTCGCTGGCTTCTCATTGTCGAGGCCAGGGTTCATAAGAGACAAGATGTACAGATATTGTATACATGACTTTTTCTTGTATTTGTTGAAAAAACATCAGTGTGGCAATAGCAGGAACATTGAAGTTATTGATCCTACATTTGGCTTGTTGCCGACGTTTCAGAGGCAGTATGGTCTTCTGAAACGTTGGCAACATGCAGTTTTGACATGGGTAGTGAATTTCTATGGAAGCTTAAAAATCAGAACAGACATTAATAGGTATGAAGTCTCAAATCAGTGTACCTGCTGTTAGCTTTATTGTGCCACGTTCAAATCAAACAGAGAAATTTTATACACACTTTTCAATATGAAATCTGTCAAAAGTGCATATATTTTGAATGAAATGCATATGGAAATGCATATTAAATGTGAGAGAACCCACCATGAATTTCACAGGCATATCATATTTGAAACGTAATCTGATCTATCACGAAACAGAAATGTTTCAAAATTAATGTAATGCATTTCAGTTGAACATCGGATGCAATAAAATTGACTGCATTGCTAATGGCGGACTGTACTACATATCATGTGACGTCTTTATCTGAATCGTTTATTTAATTTTATTATATTGTATTTTATTATTATTGTAATCCTGGGGTCTCGGGTTCGATTTCCGGCGGTGCCCGAATTTATAACTTGTGTTGGGCAAGGCTGTGGTCTAGGCAACACGGAGTTTTCCTCCGGGGGCTTCCCCGGTTTCTCCGTGGCATCCCAACAATTACTCCATTCACACACAGAAGAAGGCAATGGCAAACCACTTCTGGATCATCTGCCAAGAACGTATATGAACAGGTCCCAGTCCGAGAAAAGGATGGAAGGATCCTGTTCATATGGACCTGTCGTCAGACAGAACACTAAATAAATAATAAAATAGTACTCAAATCAAAAGGTATCAGGTCACCGTAACAAGCCACAAGGAAGGCCTAAGACTTAGAAGGTTGATCATGTCAGATCAAAGGAATTACGATGGACTGGACATGTAGCTAGGGCAGGGGAAACAAGTTGTACATAATGATATTAAATTGTGGATTCACATAAGTCTTTCTTGTTACAAGAACGAAAAGTTGCGATGTGCAACTGTATATGTGTGTAAATATAACCCTAAGACCACTTAATTAAATACTGAACCTTGTGGAAGTGTTAACCTTATAGGAAGCGACGATTAGTTGCAGACTGTGTATATAGAAATCGATTCCACATTTGGGCCCGGCGTATTTAATATGCGCATTTGTCTAATAGTTTCAGTTTCTACATTCAGCAATAGCCTGTAGGCCTATTAGACGCATGGATCACCAATATTTTGTAACTGTATAAGCCTTTAAGATTAATTACGCAAGCTTTTGGCCAGCTTTTCCCCGCTCATCATTCGTTTCTGAAATACCATTCAGTTTCAATATTTTAAAATAGTTGTACGTTTACTCTGTTCTGCAGAGGGGAGGAATTTTCCGCTAATCCATGTTATAAAGATGCCTGTGTTCTGGGATGTTATGCCGTGCAGTATGGTATAAATATACCGACGTTTCAAAGGTGTTTGTCTCCATCATCACGGCAATGTTGGAGGCAGCAAACACATCTGAAACGCCGATAAACTTCTACGAGACTACTCTGCGAATAATTGTAAACGATAAAGCCACAGGAACCATGCAAATAACGAGAGATAACGATTGTAGAAGCCCGAAGACATGCAGAGGCACTCGCATGTTGCTCAGAGGGGGCTTGTCTGTCAGGGACTCGAGAATTTTGTTATGGGGGTCTCGAACTGTTCTATTGCATGCATGGCGATGTACACCGTTGAGTTTCCATGGATAATTTATTCTCTCCACATTGCACGTTGCAACGTGTCAGAATCCACTTTTACAATGAGTGTATTCCGTTTTTGACGCAGTGGAAAATATAATTCCCTCTGGACATTTTTGTGTGAACCGTGTTCAATGCAACGTTATTGACAAATATGTTTAATTTGCAAGCACTTTCCTCTGTATGATATTAATTGAATTGGATTATATTCTATTAATTTATTGAAGAATTTAATATATATATATCCAAGAGCAAATATGGTGGTTGTTTAGTTTTGTGGTTATCTTGTTTATGCACGTCAGTAGCTCTTTCGTGTAATTTTAATTTAAGTTTTACTATAGGAGGCACTACATTAATATTT